CTCTCTCTCCCTCGTCTTTCTTCCTCATATTCCTTCTTTACACAAGAAGGCCACAACTACGCCGGGCTGTTACACCAACCCTCAGCCAGCTATGGAGGCCGGGCTATGGCGCTGCCCTCAGCAGCCCTTCCTCCTTCACGACCGCACATGCGCTGCACCATGCTCTGTGCTAGCAGCAGATCGCGAGCACTTGCTCCATCAGCCCTGCTGTAAAATAGCATGTGCCCCAATCCCATGCCAGACAGTGAACTCTTTCATTATGTGGAAAGAGTCTGGCCTGGCCTGCGGCCTGGCTGGGCTGGGCCTGTGCCCAGAAGCTTCCAGTAGGCACCAGGTAGCCGGGCCTCTGCTGCTGCTGCTGGGCCTCATTCAGTTACACCTCCCAACTGTCTGTCTATATTGCTGCGAATGAGGCCCAGGGCCTGCCTTTCAGAAAAGGCCTAGTCTCCTAGAAGGCCGTGGAAAGTATTTGCTGCTTGGGACCTGGGTTCCCTCTACCAACTGGTGTATATTTTATGTATAAATTTATCGTCTCCTCCCGCCTTATATGTTCAACCTACGGTCCTCCATACACGATGCTTCCCCGCATCCTACCCGTCCCTTCCCCCCCCCCCCTGCCCCCCCTTTCCTTGCCGTGCATGCTTAGCAAGTAAAAGCAGCATAGGCTGCTTGATACTCGCCGTCCTCGTCATCGTCGTGTTCCTCTTCCACTTTTAAGTCGTCGCCCTCCCCCTCCTCTTCCTCGTCCTTCTCCCCCTCCCTCTTCCTCATCCTTCTCCCCCTCCGTTGGCCGAGGGGAGGTAGGTGCGCATCGTTTTCTTCTGTTTTTCTTTCTAAAGGCGGGCAGAGGGATGGCGGGTGTGTGGACAGCGGACGGAGGCCAGAGCGGAGGTGAGCGAAGGTGGAGGAAAGGGATCGGAGGTGAGCGAAGGTGGACGAAAAGTGGGTGGAGGCGGAGAGGAGATGGCGGTAGGAGGTGGACGGGAGGTGGCGGAGGCGGAGAGGATATGGCGGGAGGAGGTGGCTAAAGGAGGCAGATGGGAGGTGGAGAGGAGATGGCGGGAGGAGGTGGACAGGAGGTGGGCAAAGGCTGAGGGGAGATTGGTGATCCCAATGGCGGGAGGGAGGCGGACAGAGGCGGAGGCAGACAGAAGGTCGGCGCTGGCCGAGGGGAGGTGGACGCACACCATTTCTTTTTTTCTTTTTTTTTGAAGGCGGGCAGAGGGATGGCGGATGTCCGGGCAGTGGAACGGAGGCCAGAGTGGAGGTGAGCGAAGGTGGAGGAGAGGTGGGCAGGGGCAGAGACGAGATGGCGGGAGGCGGATGGAAGGTGGCAGAGGTGGAGAGGAGATGGCGGGAGGAGGTGGACGGAAGGTGGCAGAGGGAGAGAGGAGATGGTGGGAGGAGGTGGACGGGGAGGTGGTGGAGGTGAAGGAGAAGTGGCGGAGGTGGGGGAGGAAAGAGAAGATCGCGGCGGGAGGTGGACGGGAGTTGGGCAGAGACGGAGGGAGGTGTGCAGAGGTGGGCGAAGGCGGGCAGAGGTGGGCGGAGGCGGAACGGGAACTGGGCAGAGGCAGAGCGAAGGTGGGTGGAGGCCGAGGCTGGAGGCGGTGGCGCAGGCTGCAGGCTCTCTCTCTCTCTCTCCCCCCCCCTCTCTCTCTCTCTCTCTCACACACACACACGGGATGGGAAGGCAGAGGTGGAGAGGAGTTGACGGGAGGAGATGGCGGGAGGAGGCGGACGGGAGGTGGCGGAGGCGGAGGAGAAGTGGCCGAGGCGGGGGAGGAAAGAGAGAGGAGATGGCGGGGGTAGGTGGATGGGAAGTGGGCGGAGACGGAGGGGAGGTGGCCGAAGGTGGGCGAAGGCGGGCAGAGGTGAGCAGAGGCGGAACAGGAAGTGGGCGGAGGCCGAGGCTGGAGGTGATGGCGCAGGCCGCGGGCTCTCTCTCTCTCGCTCACACACACACACACGCACACACACACACACACACACACACACACACACACACACACACACACAGGGGATAGGGAGGCGGAGGGGGAGGCGGAGAGGAGTCGGTGGGAAAGATGGCGGGAGGATACGACGGGAGGCGGACGGGAGGTGGCAGAGACGGAGGACAAGTGGCGGAGGTGGGGGAGTAAAGAGAGAGAGATGGCGGGGGGAGGCAGAGGGGAGGTGAACGGAGACGGAGGGGAGGTGGGCGGAGACAGTCACCTCGGAGGGGCCTTCAAGCACAGCCTTGCAACACAGCACACACAAAGTCATGGATCGTTGGACTCTAGCGAGGGCGCGAAGTCACGGGCCGTTCGAAGCGAGCAGAGCCATAGCGTCGCCCGCCTTGCAACGGGCCAATGGCCAGCAGGTGCCAGGACTGCTCTTTTACAGCGGGCCCTCTTTTCAACGGGCATGACGATCCACACCGCCCGCCGTCCTACCGGGCTGATGGCTCAGATCATCCCGCGATCTTAAGACTTAAGATAGAGGATAGGGAGGCAGAGGTGGAGAGGAGTCGGTGGGACAGATGGCGAGAGGATATGACGGGAGGAGGCGGACGGGAGGTGGCAGAGGCGGAGGTGGGGGAGTAAAGAGAAAGAGATGGCGGGGGGAGGCACAGGGGAGGTGGGCGGAGACGGAGGGGAGGTGGGCGGAGACGGAGGGGAGGTGGGCGGAGACAGTCACCTCGGAGGGGCCTTCAAGCACAGCCTTGCGACACAGCACACACAAAGTCATGGATCGTTGGACTCTAGCGAGGGCGCGAAGTCACGGGCCGTACGAAGCGAGCAGGGCCATAGCGCTGCCCGCCTTGCAACGGGCCAATGGCCATCAGGTACCAGGACCGCTCTTTTACAGCGGGCCCACTTTTCAACGGGCACGACGATCCACACCGCCCGCGGTCCTACCGGGCTGATGGCTCAGATCATCCCGCGATCTTAAGACTTAAGATCGCGGGATGATCTGAGCCATCGTGGAATGATCAAGGCCGTCCACCCTGCCTGACGGCCTGGATCGTCGCGCAATCTTAAAGTCTTAATGTCTTGAGATCGCGCGGAAATCCGGACCGACAGGCCAGTAGGACTGCGGGCGGCCTGGATCGGCCAATTCTTAAGTGTAGAGATTGTAAATAAGTTTTGAGTGTGCTCATACCATGTAAATCTTGCTGGCTTGGTGTGAATCTCGAGTGTCATGCATGTTTCGAGCAATTGAACCACACACAAACCGAAGTTGACAAAGCTACCTACCAAGCCTCGCGATCCTTCAAGTGCGCCTTTTCAAAGTGGCCTGCCGCTTTTGTTACCAGCCCAAAATGCTCTTACCGCATAAGAGCGCTACTTAGGTTCGGGTGAACCAGTGGTTAAGGTGGCAAAACAATATATTTTCAGTCAAGGCAGGACCTTTTCAGATGCAGAGGAGGACGAGAAACGTTAAGTAAAGATTGTGGAATAAAGATGAGAGCAGAGTCAGTATTTCCTCAACTACAGACAGGACACTAACACTAGGGATGCGCGCTGAGCATTCTCAGCAAAACACTTGCCATGGCAGGACACAAACAGTAGGTGATGATATGGAGGGCCTAGCTGCGCATTCCCAGCAGAACACTTGCCATGGCAGCTGACATCACACAAGACCATGTCCGCAAAATGGACATATAATGTCCAGATGTGGATGGTGTGCGCAATCAGGAAAGGGCATGTAGCCCTCTGCACGCATGGCTGATTCTGGTAAAGACAATGACAGCTGCAGCCAAGTGTAACAGATCTGTAGCTGTGCGAAGGAGAAACATCCACAGTACTGACACATTGCCATGCTGCGGCATGTGAGGAGACGAGGAATACCCAACATGAAAGACTGTGCGGACGGTCTGCTGAGCAAGAAAACAACATTGTTGCAGGAAAAATCAGCAGCATCAATCTAGGCATGGACCATACTACTGTGGCCCCACATTTCTCAGTGCTCAGAGGCACTAACAATTGCCATGTACTGGCAAGGTTCACAATGCACGCAGTGATAAAACCACTCACTGGGCTGCGGACAGTTCAAGTTGGTGGCCCCTCATTGCAACTGATTGACTCCAAGCCTACCACATTCCGCCTCTACACTACCTCCACACAGGAAAGATCCAAATCAAGCTGAAGTGGGGGAAGACACGCAGACAAGCATTAGTAGCGGCCAGACAACAGGGATTGGGGAGGTTTTCAATGAAGGAACACCCTCCTTACCTCAATGCTGTTCTAGGAATTCAAGCCATGTATGCATATAGCATTAGACCACCACTACTTCCAAGCCTGGGTCCCAGAAGTACTTTCTTTTCTTGCACTATCAAGAAAACTGATTTCGTCACGGCAGTTGCATCCAGAAAAGAACAAACAAACAAAAAAGAACAAACGCTTTGGACACTGTAGCAGTTGGATACATTCTCAGAAGTACACGTGTGAGTATGCCCTTAGTGAGGGCTGTAAGAGGCACAGTCAGACTCACGAGAGGAGAAGAAATAAAAAGTCCCAGAAGTAGCAGCCTGGACGGGAAAAGCAGTTGGATACCTCCCCAGAAGTAGCAGTGTGAGTATGCTGTCTGTGAGGGCGTCAAAGAAGTCCCTGCCTCACTGGCAGGGCACTACAAAGAAAACAATAGAAAAAAACAAAACACAAATCATAACATTTCCTACTAGCCAAAATAGTGGTGGGATACATTCTCATAAGTACTACTGTGAGAACGGCCTGGGTTACGGCCTTCCCCGGCATCATAGCAGTTTGATAAAGCGTCGACTTCTTTTTTTTTCTTGTTTTATAAGTGGGCCCACAGGGCCCGAACACTTTGTTTTCGCCGACCCTCCGATGGGCCCTCGAAAACTTTGGAAAAATAGGAAAACTGCCAGTTTTACGATTTTTCCCAACAGTGGGCAAGGTAGTGGTGGTTTAGCCATGTTACTTCATCAGGATTCTAACGTATGCCCTGTCTACTAACAGTTTACATGTGTGTTCCATTCAGTTTGTCTTCCTTACCCCAATGGTCTTCTGGAAATTCCTGGGGTCATCAGGATCCTCAAACGGATAGGCTCCAACCAGCATGACATACAAAGTTACACCACACGACCACACGTCGGCAATCTGCGAAAAATACACACAGTCATTACCCCAGCCAGCAGAACCAACCAAAACCGAGAACCAGAACAGACAGCCAGCCAAAGACCATAAAAAACAAAGAAATTTGTGATGATATTAGGGACCACATTAGCCCTTACCCTGATTGTCTTGCCAAAGTCCCATGGACTGTCAGGATCTGAAAACGGGTAGGCTCCGACCAGCATGACATACAAAGTCACACCACAAGACCATACATCTGCAATCTGCAACCAGCAGCATGCATAAGCCGGGCGAAATATAAGAGAGGAATAGAGAAGAAATAGACACACAGACACAGGCAGAGGGCGACATGAAGAAGATCGAAATGCTCATGATCAGTCCTACTCAGACCAGGTAGCAGGAGCTTGGGAAAGTCATCATAAAAACTCTCCAAATGCACCACCACCCATCAGCCCATACACAATCTCGTTGCCCATCAAAAAACTTGAGGCTGTCGTTTCTCATCAATCCATTCAAAATCTCTCTTTGCCAAGCTGGAAACTTCAAGGGTTGATTCTCATTGCTCTCTCCCTTTCTCCCTCTCTCCTTTTCTCCCTTTCCACCTCTCTCCCTCTCCCTCCTGTCCTTTCTCATAAATCCATTCAAACTCTCTTTGCCAAGCGGGAAACTTCAAGGGTTGATTGTCATTGCTCTCTCTCACTTTCTCCGTCTCTCTCTCTCTCTCTCTCTCTCTCTCTCTCTCTTACAATTTATGGATACTATTTCTCTACCACTTGTGCAGACAATTCATGGATTCTATTTCTCTACCACTTCTCATGCAAAATATATAATTCTTGCACTCACAAACACTGCAAGCAGAGACCAAAGCATCCTGATGTGGATGGATTTCAATCAGAAAAACGGATGAACAACCTAAAGAGTACATGGAGCCTAGGAACAAATACATGCCATTAATGGAAAACCAGCATTTCTAAACAATACATGATGCAAAGTTTTCAGGGCCTATCTGGGGAAACCATCTGCAGGCATCACTCTTCATACGAAACATTCAAAACATGCATAAAAAGAAGATTTCTCCATCCTCGAAGGACATACACTAGAAGCCTCTCTACTATACCAGAAAGCTGTGAAGTCAGGCTAGTCAAACTGAGCACCACCCATCAAACCCATTTCTCCGACCATCAAGTGCCAGCACCTTGCCCGGCGTCAGGTGGTATTATTTGGTGGGCACCTCCAGAGTTGCCCCATCCTTGAGACATTCCTAAGAATAGGCAATGTGACTGGCCTGCAAATCTCTGTTGTGTCCCTACTTTGTCCTTTCTGCAAACTGGGTAACTGCTCATCCCGCAAAATTGAGACGAAAAGGTACTTGTGTGAGTACGTCCGAAGCATGTACAAACGTAAGTTCCAACTTCCAACCCTTCAGGGTGAGCAGCATGATCATTGCGCCCCCAGTTCACAAGCATACTGAACGATGTCGGTGTTCCCGATACATGCGAGCCAGGAATTATACATAACAAAACGGGGGATAATTTTTACAGTGCTGCAGGCCTGTGTGTGCAGCAGACACAAGATGTAGCCACCTGTGAAGCATTTGCACGGCTAGGGGCTGCTCTGAGTACAAGTGTCACCGATCAGCTTTCGCTTCTCGCATCCAACCCCCCCACTTCTAATTCACTTCATCCCCTGGCATCTACCCCCCCGAATAAAATTCACTTCATCCCGGTTGCTCCCCCACTTAAAATAATCCCACCCCCACTTCTAATTCACTTCGTCCCGCTCTCGCATCTAACCCCCACACTTCGATTAACTTCATCCTGGTCGCTCCCCCACTCTAAATCACAATGATCCAATCTCTGATAATTGACAGAACCCCTGACTGGAGATGCTCTCTCTTCAGAATGCATGCCCGAGCCGATGGGAATTAACACAGCCAGAGGGGCCTGACAGAGACTTTCAAGACTGGAGTGAACCTCCCCCTTTCCATGCAATCTGCAGGACCAAATGATCTCATAGTGCTACAGCGAGGCCACTGTGCATCCTCACTTACAATTGCAACCCTTATACTACTTCGGACTTTGCAGGCATTGTCCGCTGGATAGAAGAGGAACACCGTGCGGCCAGAGGATGACCGCACTGTGACTGGCATGAACATAGGAGTACTGCCTATGGCATTTCTGGGAAGACAACATACATGTGTACATCCTGCATCGCCGGAGTTATTTCAATGCTGTTACCTTCGAGGAGAACATCCCATTGTGTCTCCACACACACACACCTCATTTAGCATGCACAGAACACAATCTCTGCTCCAAACACTATGAAGGGATGGTCACCGCCAGCCTCTGCCGCTAAAACTGTGACCCATTGTGTCGCACTGATTCCCCCACCCCGTTGTTGCCTGCCCAATATGCCGTTGTGCCCTTGACATGCCTTGCTTGAATAACTGTGAGTGTGAGACTGCTTTACTGCTGGCATGTCAGCAACATGCAATGTGTCGTCAATGTTTGGAAGAAGCTGACATGCCATGCGGCAAGCTCCGCATGCGGACTTTTGCATGCACGTTATGTGCTGCACATATGGTCTATGTCATATGCTCAGCCGGACAACTTGGATGCCAGAGTCCACAACAAAATATTTTCTGAAAAGGAATAAAGAATACCGAAAAACAGCTTGACAAGATTTGTCCAACCATACAAACAACCGTTCACAAGTGGTCACTTCAGAATTCCTTACCAAATTCGAGAACAAATATAATCATTGAAAATTACATTTCAGTAATCATTCCAGTACAACAATTTAAATGACCCTTATACCTCCCTCAGACCCCCACACAGATCCAAATGCGAAGAGCCTGCATTCTGAGATTGTCGGCACTCTAGTTGAGTGTCAATTCGACCCCATCGAGAATTCTGGTGGCATAGGGTCCAGTAGGCTAGATGGGTCCAGTCCAGTCCAGTCGAGCTGTTTGGTCTCAAGTTGCACAGGATCCGGTGGGCTATGTTGGTCCAGTCCAATCCAGTCCAGTCCAATAAGTCAGTCAGTAGCCCAGGGTCCCAGTAGGAACGTCGAAGGCCAAGAAGCCCAAGCTGGCACAAAACCAGGTCAATCTGGTCTGCAAGTCGAAGGGCTGGAAGCGCAATTGTCACATACAAAAGCATAGCAACTGTAACTGTCATTCATTCATTCTGCTCGCTTTCGTGTGAATATGCTGTGCAAAGGAGTGACCAAGCAACGGGTAAGACAGTCGGTGAGTGTGACAGAGAGACTAGGCAGGCAGTAGTCAACAGACGCTGGTCGCCAGATCTGTACGTTTGCCATATAGATATGTGAGAGGGAGAGAAGACATTCAGAGAGGGGAGGGAGACCTCATGGTCGATGCTGGCAGCCACAGCTGCACAGACAGATATATACAAACTCAAATATTTAAGACTGATTTATGGATTTGCTTGCACGTCTTATTCAACTTCTCCTTTTTTGTCTGGCAAGCCCCAATATGAACTATGTGGTTGTTTAGTTTTGAAATTCACCTTCTGTTATTGGAAAAAGGGTCTGATTGTGAGCATCACATTCCCAATGATGAACCCAACATAGCTCAGTGGGGCATGTCCCCAACTGAGCCATCTTTCTTGCTTATTCTCTTCCCTGCTTGCCATGTCATCAGCCCCTCCTACATCACGTCACCTTCCTGACGCCCTAGTGTTGCTAGGATACTGCCAGTTCAATCCATGGCCAACATATCCCTCACCAGCCACCAGCTTCACACGCCCCGAGCACCCTTCACTTCAACCTAGACCACCCTGAGATCCTGGACGCAGCTCAATGTTAGACTCCATGCTCCAGGCTGGATTCTCGTCCAGGGCACCCCAGTCCACCGTTTAACTAACAAGTTCCCATAACGTTCTCCATATTGTGCTGGTATACAACTGGGTTGCAGTTCTCTCTGTCAGCAGCTTGGAGGAGGCACTACGAGGCACAATCAATTATCTTTCAAATCTTTGATAGCTAGCAACAGTGGAAACTTTCCTTTGAGATAGACGAAAATGTACTTGTTATGATCCTGGCCAATTTCAAAGTACACATTCATCAGAAAGTACATGCCGTCCACTTGCAAAAAGAAATGAATGAACTTCTCCAAGGCACAAGGCCTCAGAAAGCCCTACCGGGCCCCTATTTGCAACAGGTCGGCCGCCCTAAGTGAAGGCAGGGTCGACAGACGACAAGAGGCCTATTTTGGACTACTTCGCAAGGGTGTAAAATTCAGGCAGTTGCGCAGCGCCAGTTGGTTGAAGGCGCCCAGGCCCTGGCCTCCTTTATGAAATGTATCTAAGTCAGGCCCTGGGCGAGATACACAACATGGACCCAACTCCAGCTGTGGGCAGTTGGGCACGGGTAACTGTCGATGGCCCTGGGCCTGATTCGTTTGGACTGAGGCTCAGCCTCCCTGTGCCTACCGGAAGCGTCTGGGCAACGACCCAACGCAGCCAGGCTGCACGCAAGGCAGGCAGGCCACTTCCATTTAGGAAAGGGCCTGCCCACGCATTGGACATTCGGGCACTGGCTGCATGCTGCGCAAGCGCTGTTGCGCTAACGCTGGCCAGTGCTCACGCGCTCACGGTGAGCTGGAAGGAGCAGGCAGCCATAGCCGAGCTGCGTTGTTGTATGCTGGATGGGGCGCATGGTGGTCCTTGGGTGCATGTGGCATCTGTGAGTTGGGGAACGAGGTTGTGAGTGACACGAGAGACATACCTGGTGCTTGACGCATACGACATTGGCCGAGATCTGCTCGTACTTCGGGGAGCTGTTGATATCTTAGGCTAGATAGGATCTGCCATCTGTAGTCTGGGCGCCGAGCGCCAGATAGGATATCGGCATTGGTTCCTTGTTGATGATGATGAGACGATTCCAGCATTGTCAATTATGAGCTTTTGCTGTACTCTCATTTGGTGAATTGGTTCAAGGTCGCGACTTTCTGGTCTTATGTGTATGATGCTGTTTGATTTCTGAAGTTCGCTATCGCTCATCTTCCTTGCAATTTGGTATCAGAGCTGTGGTACGTTGCGCTCATCTGGCGCTTATCTTCTGCCTATGTGGTACATGCATGCGGTATGCTGGGCGAGCTACCGTAGTGAGTGTGTAGTGAGGAGGGCGAAGATAAGTAGGCGACCCAGGTGGAGAGGGGTCGCCCGGAAGGCTATGTAGTGAATATTGGGTGTTCGCAGTGTGATGAGAACTATCCGATGTGCGATTGATGCTGAGGTGG